TGGTAGTAATTTTGGCGAATTCGCTGTTTTTGTCAGTTAGCACTTTTGCGAATGTTTACTTGCGGAATGTCGACCGACTTAGAAATTTGGTTTATAATAAGCATTACACGTGGGTACGATTGTTTTTTCCTCGTCACTTTCAACAACGACATTTTTTGCTTCATCTTCTTGCTTGGTTCTCGTCGCTCCTCCTCGGCATTCACAGTATTGCTGATATACCGAAAAATTTTTGGGCATGCTAGGGAACTCATTCATAATAAATCCATCGTTACTTCCTCGTACGATTTTTGAATGATTCCGCCGATCAAATGAGGGTTGGGAATTCCACGTAAAAATTTCTCACTGATTTTATTTGTGAACAATATGCTTAATTACTTCCGTCCGTCTCCTTGCGCTTCTTCCCTACTCACGAAACTGGTGAGAACCATAAATACAGTAAATACCAGTTGGCATGATGCCACGCAAAGTCTTCCATGAAGGCGTGAGTACATAGCATGGCTAATGCTCTGAAGAGATGTTGTAGAAATTCATAGACTCTGAAATAATAGCACCAGTTTTTCGGTGTAGCGAACGAGTCCTCTCAGCATGGCCCGCTTTTTTTTCCTACCTGCTATTCCACCTGAAATAATGTGCAGCCTGGCGGTCCCCCATCAGTTGGCTTGGTTTTGGACCGAGTTCTATTAATAATAAAAAAAATGTAACCGTTCACAGTGAAAATTCTTCTGAGCTGGCCGCGCGAACTATTCAAATTGATACTTACAGACGCGATTTGCAATATCTGTTAAGGTGGGCAATGTCTGCGCATTGTTCTAAAGTTACGTGGGCTTGCGCCTTATGGTTACGGCGGCCAGTTGGTAGAAGTTCCAGTTTTGTCTGGCCCCATTAATTGAACTAACCTAGGATGAGTTCAGCGAGAAAACACTTGAGTATGACTAGCGCAAAGCCTTGAAAAACAGTATGAATAGGTGGGCGCTAGACAGAGCTCATTTGGTTTGAACAACAACGTATAGTCCGTTCTCTGAACTGTGGTTGTGCCACTACCTAAAAGCGAAGCCGCCACTATACGCACGCCCCCCCCCCCCGGCCCCAAATATTGGATCCTCATCTCCCCACCGCACGGACCTATCGTTTCCGACAGTCCTACTCTGCCGCCTCTTTGGAAGGGCGAATTGGCCTATTTATTATAGATTTTTGTAAGTAGATCAACCGTCCATCTTACACCAACGGTGCCCAACGCCCATGTGGGTGTAGTCTTCCTATTTTAGTCACCGAATGGCTTCTAATCAATTTCCGCACGACTCTTCACTCCTTCAGAAACCGACTTACGATTTTCCGAATGAAAGCACCGGCTATGGGCAAGTGGTTCATTGTGTGTCCTACATCTCTATCATTCCCCCCCTTGACCCGTCCCCTCAAACTGACTCTTTAGGTACAGATAGACAGACAGAAGGCAGACAGGCAGGCAGACATTGCCTTTATGTAGAGTAGTATCGCGCAGTCGGGGGACGGAGGGGCGGGGTCAGTTAGTTCCGCCAGCTTGCCGGCATCTTGGAGACCTGCGAAGGCTGTAAAACTGAGGAACGCTAGTTTATCGGATGGAACTCAGTAGTGGGCGGCGAAAAGGACTAGAACGAAGATGAGAATTTCTGACTATGCCTATGGCATACCGGGCCGTAACACCAATACTTGTTAGAAAAAGTTCGAAAGTGAAACTCGTAACATTGCTCAGATCCGCAGAAAACTATGAACGTTCCCAAGAATGCCCCTTCCCTCGTGAGACAAAGAGCGCTGCACAATCTTTCCGTCAGATAAAGTGGAATAGGCATTCAAACACCTCCGAGACAATGAGGGATGTTGGGTGCACGACGCTCACCAACTTCATCTGTCCGCAGTACTGAACTGGGGAGCAGCCGTTGTGGAGAATACGCTACATGCATCTGTTCTCTAACGTCTTCGCTTAACAGTTTTTGTGTTTAACCTTCGGTGAACATGTCTATCGATTATTTCCTGTTTTCAGAACTAAATGTCTTTCTCAGTTCCTTCTGACCTCTCTGGAGGTTTATATTTTCTCAATGGCAAAAGAACCACCGTCCCGGGTTCATCGACTTTTGACGTCATGGAGCCTCGAATAGGTTAGCCGTAGGATACAGTTATTCAAACATTTCTTCGAACTTTTTTTGGGCTCATTCATGGCCCTTTCAATAAATGATGCATTTCGAAGCCGTCTCAAGGAATCCTCAAGGATTCTTGGATCTGTATAGTAGATACCCTTTCCGGATCAGTGTTGAATGGTTGTATGTACAGTCGTCGGCTGCGTTCATACTTTGCGGCAGCGCGCAACAGCGACATTTCAGGCGCAGCGATGAGGAAAGTATAAGATTATTTAGTCTAGCGTACTAACCGCGTCTACCATGTCCACCAGCCACAAGCAGCATCCACCAGCGACGTCTGCACCGAGCGTATTGAGGAACTAAGGAAATGTAGGGAACAGTGGGCGCAGCGCGACCACTCACACCTCCAGCACGACCAGAGTCCGGGAGTGGAGAGTTAGCGGGCGATAAGAGAGCGGCAAACAGCTTGGCTACCTTCAACTATAAACGCAGCCTTACTGAAATCCGGAAAGTACCAGCAACGCGTGTTTTTCGGCGCGGTGTTGACCTTTTTCCACCTATACATGGGTGGCCAAAAAAGTCACTTTTTCTTCATTGCCATTCGAGCGCTATAAGTTACTTTATTAAATTCTGATCGGACATTTTTACCACCATATTAAAGAGCATATCAAATACTATCATGACACTCCGCCACAGCCTTCTGGACGAGCGCCATCGAGAGATTCTGGCACGCGACCGCGATGTGGTGCCTGAGATCAGCGAGATAGTCGATTTCTCCGCCACCCTAATAACAAAAAAACCGTAGACCACCTATTGAACTCCGCCCGAACCGGGTAATTGAGGGGATTCAGGTCAGGTGACCTACTTGGATATTCCATCTTCTTTAGGTACTCAACGACTTCCATTCCAAGTAGGCGAGTGTTTCCTCCACCGACCTTCGATCCATGGTGGTTGGCAGTGAATGCTGTAGCATCAATTTTTCCAACAAGGTAACGGCGACCAATGCAAGGAGGATATTCTTCATGATTCTGCTTCAAATGTAACGCGCCAGCGCTCACCTTCAGTCCGGGTCCACGAAAAAAATATTGGTCTTTCCATTCCAGGTACGTCCGGTCCATACCATCAACCCGCGCCTTGGCGACTGTGGTGAAGATGATGTCCTAGACCGTAGCGACGATTGTACCGGAGCTGCTGCGATGATGGAGGTCTTGCTCAATGCGAGAGTAACAAGGTCTCCAGGTAGCTATCCATGGGTGACTCGCATACTAGGACAGTTTCCCGTAGCCTGTTTGGAGGGTGATCATGAGATTCCCGAAAGTTCATCTCCAGTAGGGTGCGACTGGAGATGACTTCATATTTTGGTGTACATGAAGGTGATGGGAGAAAGCCAGCTCCTGCTTATCGAGGAACATCTTGGGTATCTTCTGCCCTGGTACTCGTATCCACGTCCTCTGTCTGGGCTGCAAAAACTTTGCTGATATGTGACTCGGTCGAAGTGACTTTTTTTTTTGGCCCCCCCCTGTAGTTGCCGGCTTTGGGCACTTCCAACGAGTGGTGAAAAAACTTGCTGGCCGCCACGCAATGTGCCCCCACCTTGCTGGACCGCGTCCTAACTAGACTTCCAGCGGTATACAAAACATATTAACGGAAGACTGAATGATCTAAGGGCACGGGAGGGCAGGGGAAAGAACATTTGATGTGTAGAACTTGCAATATCCCTCAACGTCACGACTCCTGACACCTGGCGTCGGTTTAGAAACAGTTTCTTAGACCGAGTGGCGGTGGGGGCGGGGGTGAGTTCAAATAAAAGTTGAGGAGACATCACCGGGTAGGATAGTCAGCAAAATAAGAGAAAAAAATCGATTTGGCGGTCGATCGCTACGTGTTTCTTTCTGTTTTTTCTTATTATAAACCGATCGTTATCTTGTTTGATCATTTAATTTGTGAATTTAATTCTGTACCGATATGCACTCATGGTGGGCGTTTACATCTTCTTGTACTGACAAAATCAAATGGAAACATAAAAAATACAAAAAATCGAAAAATGCAGTAGTTATTGCAATAGTTCAAGTGTAAGAGAATCGGAGAATCGAGGAATCCCAGAAATGGTTTGTTCATAGCGTGGTTTGCCTTATTTGGCATACCAGTGATCTTGAGGATGTACGAAATTTCCAAAACGTGTGCAATCAGCAGCTCTCATTAAGGTGCTGTCGTTGCAAAGTGTCCTAATGCTGACAAGAAAACTGTGGATGAAGCAGTGGAGCTGGCAGCGGAAGCACAACCGGCTTGGGGAGAGCGCACAGCACTGGAAAGGGGAAAAATCTTGAGAAAGACTGCCGAAATCATCAGAGTGAGTTCTTGTATTTACGGTAATCTTTTTCATGGTGATTGAACTTCAAAAAACAAATACTTCGCTGCTAGGCATATGGCGCTGTAATTTGGTACTCGGTCTAAAATGCTAGGGTGCTATATAGTGGGAGAAGGGCGGAAAAAACGAAGTGAAACCGCCAAAATCCCGCAAAGAAAGGCACTGTTGTGCATGACCAAGAGAGCGGTTTCGGACGAGTTTCCCGTAGGCATCTTGCCAACAACCGCTACGGTAGATACAGCTGCATGTATGTACTCATCTTCATATTTCACTTAGCAAATGAAGCAATACGAGCATCAGGTACGGTCGTCCATTTGTGGGCGGGAGGGCGCGGTGGGCGTCCGGTCGGTATGTTGCAGCTTGATAGGGCCTATAAGGATACGTGCCTTGGAAAAGGCGGCAGCGCCTCTCAGTGGCGCGGTACTGTCCTGCCAGGCGTAGTAGTCCTACACGTCTCGGGGATTTATCGTGCCGACTGTCGTTAACTGCACCGAGGTTCTGCTGGAGCACAACTTCAAAAAATGCTTGATCATTCCAATGATGAACAACAGTTCGGAAACATGAGGGTTCTTGTGGAAAAGTCAAATTTGCGGAATATAACTGTCTTAATGTGCACGAATACAGACAAAAATGGACTTCTGTACGGTGGCAGGAACAGGACACAT